CATAGATTATGAGATTGACAAGGAAAACATGTGCAGCACATTAATTTGGGCTTGTATCTCATTCGGAAGCGACAACAACAGTTGGAGGAAGTAGAAATATCGGACTGGACAACGACAGATGTATTTTTTATGGTATGTGATACAGGATGCATATGACCTAAATTGTTTAGTTTCCTAATTCATTTGTTAGTTTCCTATATTCTTTAGTTTTCCAAATCCTAGTAGGATTTCTAAGTTAGTTTTCCAAATCCTATTAGGATTTCTAAGTTTCCTATTTTATTAGGAATAGGATTTCTGTTTTACCTGGGGATTTTAATTCTATTGTCTCTAGGTTTTAGTTTGCTATAAATACCCCTATGTAGTTCTTTACAATTCAGATTTGAATATTGATTAAACATTCCTTTAAACTCTCTGATTTCTGCCTGCCTTCTACCTTTTCTTCCTTTCAGCTTTTCTTATCTGTTCTGTCTTATTGCTCTAAGTGTTTAAACCAACACACCCAGGGCTGTACTACATCAGTATGGCATAGGCCTTGACCAAGTGCAGTTAATAATTACAAATTATCCATACTTGCTTTGTGGAGTTGTTTAACCATTGATTGTTTTCTATTTCACAGAATCACATCCATACTTGCTTTGCGGATAATAAAAGGAAAAAAGAGCAAGTTGGGTGGAAAATTAGAACCAGTTTAGTGAACGTTGTAAATGGCAAGGTTTCGGCGTGTGGATTGGATTGGCAGAACACGTATAAGGTGTATGTACCTTGTATGTTGCCAAAATATAAGCATTGGGTGGCTCTAGAGATTGATATGATTCAGTGTGAAATCAAAGTCTATGATTCAATGGTTTCACTCATTCCAGATCAGAGCTTAAAGGAAGAACTCGGCCCCCTGTCAATTACGATTCCAAATCTTCTGCACACCCTCGACTTTTATGAAGAAGGTGTTTACGCGAACGAGTGCACCCGAGATTGGTGGTGTCCATGGCCAATACATCGTGTGGATGTTCCACAACAGGCTAATCAGTGAGCACAACTTTTTATTTAATTTTATTACTTTAATTTGTCAATTACGTTAGAATGTCATTAGTTGAATTGATCGAGTTCTTGTTTTGCTTTAGAGGCGATTGTGGTATGTTCGTGTTGAAGTACATTGAGCTGTTGAGTGCTGAGATGCCCTTAGCTACTTGCACCTCCCAGAACATGCCATTTTTTCGGTTGAAGTTGGCTGCAGAAATTGCACGGGGAGATGCTTACATGCCATGATATCGGTTGAACTTGGTTTAGGCACATGATGATTAAATAGATTTTGGGAATGTCCAATTTCAAAGTCATGTAAATACATAATAGAGACCCATGGGTCCTTTTCGAATTCCACCTCTGCTCCTGAATTCTTCTTCGTCTTTCTCAATCTTAGTGTATTTGTGTACAGAAATTTAGATTTAAGTTACTGGACAATAACAATTAGAACCAAAATAGTGGCAAATATTATAGCAGATGCATGCTTTCATTTCGATTAGTGTGATATTATGCTATGTTTATTCTCATATTGTGCGAAATGTATATGGAGCTGGATGCAGAGCATAGAAAAATGAAGAATCTGAAATGGAGATGCTGAGGG